CCGTACTGGATAGAGAGGGATGGGCTCGGCTATTGTGAGGTGTCCAGTCCCAGCAGCCAAGCGAGTCGTCGACGCACGCCGGCTTTTGGTTGGGTGGTCGTCGGCCACTGTCGAGGCGCTGGAGCAGCGGCCCATGCGCTGCTATAGGTGCATGGGGATGGGTCATACCGTCCCCATGTGCACATCGAAGGTGGAGAGGGGGCGCCTCTGCTTCCGGTGCGGCAGCGAGGCGCACATTTCTGCTGGCTGCACCGCTAAGAAGCTGCGTTGTGCGGTATGTGCAGACGCTGGACGCCCCTCTGGGCACGTGATGGGTGGCCGTGATTGCAAGCCACCCGTCATGAAAGGCAGGGCGGCTCAACAGACCAGAGCCGCCCCTAGTGATGGAAGCCGCCAGGCTGGGGAGGAAGCGCAGATGTCGTCGTAATGCCCAGACATCTTAAGCGCTTCCTCCAGGCGAACGTCAACCACTCGGCTGGAGCGCAGGACCTGTTGCTGCAGTCCATGGCCGAGTGGGAAATTGACATGGCGGTGGCCTGCGAGCCCTACTTTGTCCCTACCCAGTCGCAATGGGTGGGGGACATAGAGGGCTCCGTGGCCATAGTGTCTGGGAGCAGCACCGGCCCCTGTCTCTCGGCAATCGAGAGGGGCCAGGGACTAGTCGTGGCAGGGTGGGGAGAGTACGCGATCGTTGGTGTGTACTTCTCCCCCAACCGCAGCTTGGCGGAGTTCGAGGATTTTCTTGACTCCGTCCGCGCCGCGGTTGGTAGCGTGTCGCCGAGACCAACAATCGTCCTCGGCGACTTCAATGCCAAGTCCCTGGCTTGGGGGAACCCCACCACGGACAATCGTGGACGAGCCGTCCAGGTGTGGGGCCTACTCTCCGGGCTGTCCCTCCTCAATGTGGGGACGGCATTCACTTGCGTGCGGCAGCAGGGGGGGTCTGTGGTGGACCTAACGTTCGCCACCCCCGACGTCGTGCGCAATGTGATAAACTGGAGGGTAGAGGTGGAGGTGGAGACCCTGTCGGATCACAACTACATCCGATTTGAGGTCTCCACCTGTCCGGTGTCAGTGGACCGCCCAACGGGGCCCTCTCGTGCGTTCCCGAGGTGGGCCCTTGGCCGGCTCGATCCTGAGCTGGCCCGGGAGGCGGCCATTGTGGAAGCTTGGTGCTCCCAGGGGAGTGTGGTGGGCGCCAGCTGCGAAGTGGAGGAGCTGGCTGGCCGCATGCGCGACGCCCTCACAAGGGTCTGCGATGCGGCCATGCCGCGAGTTAGGCGGCACGACCGGCGTCGCCGGTGCGTATACTGGTGGTCGCCCGAAATTACGAGGCTCCGGGCGGCCAGCAGCAGGGCCAGGCGCATGTATGTGAGATGCCGAAGAAGAAATGGCCTGGACCCCGTATTAGAGAGCGAGCTGCGGCAGGCCTACCGGTCTGCTAAAAAGGCCCTGCAGCTCGCTATAAGCCAGGCCAAGGCGGCGGCCCGTCAAGAACTGTTGGCGGGCCTCGATCGGGATCCGTGGGGGCGCCCTTACATCAGAGCGCGGAACAAGCTCCACGCGCACGGCGCCCCGGTCACGGAGACCACGCCGCCCGACGTCCTTCTTCGGCTGGTGGGAGGGTTGTTTCCGGAGTCGTCTGGTCACGTCCCCCCAGTGATGGCTCCTCCCTCATTCCACGAGGGAGTTGAGGAAATCCCCCCGATCACTGAGGGGGAATTTAGCCTGGCCCTCGGCAAACTACGGGCCAGGCGGACGGCTCCGGGACCGGACGGTATTCCGGGGCGAATCCTAACCATTGCCCTGGAATACCTGGGAGGGGACCTTCGGGCTCTGTTCAACGCATGTCTTCGTGTTGGGCAGTTCCCGAAGGTCTGGAAGGAAGGGAGATTGTGCCTACTGCCCAAGGAGGGTCGACCTCTGGACTCTCCTTCGGCGTACAGGCCAATCGTGATGCTGAGTGAGACGGGCAAACTCTTCGAGAGAATTCTCGCTGCCCGTATCACTCGGCATCTGGAGGAGGTGGGGCCGGGCCTTTCAGAGGCTCAGTTCGGGTTCAGGGCGGGAAGATCGACGGTGGACGCCCTGAACGCCCTGAAGGTCCGGTCCTTGGCCGCAGTGGAGGAGGGAGACGTGCTCCTAGCCGTCTCGGTGGATGTGGCCAACGCCTTCAACACCCTGCCGTTTGAGACGTTACGAGAGGCACTACGTTACCATCAGGTGCCTCTCTATCTTCGGCGGGTGTTGGACGCGTACCTCCATGACAGGCAGGTCATGTGGATGGGGGCAAATGGGGTGGTCGGTCGGCGACGTGTCGACTGCGGGGTTCCACAAGGGGCCGTTTTGGGCCCGGTACTGTGGAACCTCGGCTACGATTGGCTCCTGCGGTGTCCGCTCCTCCCCGGGCTCGGTGTCATCGCCTATGCCGATGACACCCTCGTCACAGCCCGGGGTCGTTCATATGAGGAGGCGGCACGCTTGGCCACAGTCGGCACAAATCTGGTCGTCGACCGGATTGGGATGCTGGGCCTGAGGGTCTCCATAAATAAAACGGAGGCCCTCCTTTTCCATGGCCCACGCAGGGGTGCCCCCCGAAATGCCTGCCTGCGCGTCCAGGGGAGGATGGTGGAGGTAAAGGCCCAAATGAAATATTTGGGCCTGACCCTGGATGCTCGCTGGACGTTCCGTGTCCACTTCGCCCAGCTCACCCCGAAATTGATGAGCGCCGCCTCGGCCCTCGGCAGACTGTTGCCGAACGTCGGGGTCTGGCCTGGATCTCCTTGCCGGCGGCTCTATGCCGGCATCGTGAGGTCCATGGCACTGTACGGTGCTCCTGTTTGGATCGACGCCCTCGCCGCTGAGAACAGGGCCCAATTGCGCAAGGCGCAGCGGGTCCTGGCGGTGAGGGCGATACGGGGGTACCGTACGGTGTCCTTTGAGGCGGCGACGCTTCTGGCGAGCGATCCGCCCTGGGAACTCCAGGCGGAGGTGCTCGCCGAAGTATACCAATTTCGGGCGAGTGAGCGCGGGCGCGGGGAACGTCCGGCGTGGGAGGGAGTCGTTCGGATCAGGCGCCTAGCTGACGAGGCCCTGATCCGGCGCTGGTGGGAAGATCTGGGGACTCCGGCGGCTGGCCTGGCGACGGTGGGTGCGATTCATCCGTACCTGTCTAGCTGGGTCAGGAGGCCACACGGCGTCCTGACGTTCAGGCTGACGCAGATGCTTACCGGGCACGGGTGCTTCGGTAAGTATCTGTTTCAGATTGCACGTCGGGAACCGTTGCCCGTATGCCACGAGTGTGGTGCGTCCGAGGACACCTCGCACCACACCCTCGCGGTATGCGCCGCATGGACTCCCCAGCGCCATGCCCTGATGGCGGTAGTGGGTGGAGACCTTTCGTTGCGAAGCGTGGTGGGGGCCATGCTACGCGACGCGAGGTCCTGGTCGGCGATGGTCTCCTTCAGTGAGACCGTCATCTCACTGAAGGAGACGGCGGAGAGGGAACGCGAGGCTAACGCCTTAGCAGACCCTCTTCGTCGCCGTCGGCTGGGGGGGAGGAGGCGCCGGTATGCGCATCTTCTCCCGCCACCCTAGAGGAGCTACCGCGGGGGGGTCTCTCGTTGACTCCCCTGCACGTCATCGGGGCGGTCGGGATGCCCTGCGAACCGAGGGCATCCTGATTTAGGCGAGGCTGGCCCGCGTGGTACGGGCCGTCCGCAGGGGTGTTGCAGTGAGTGCGAAAGCGATCCTGCACGCCCCATTGCACTGCGGCGAAGGGTTCCGCTGTGGGTTTTAGTGAGTAGGAGTCTCACAGTACCCTGCCCATGACGGCGGCAGGGTCCCCATGATGGGTTTCCCCAGCGAAAACAAAGAAAAAAAAAAGGCTTTGCCTAGGATGCAATAAGAGATATCATTCCAATAGAGATCCATCGAAATTCACAAAAATAACTCAAAGTCAGAAATATTAAAAACCAATTGAACAATAATTAATTAATTAAGATTAACTTATAAATAAAATTTATTTCAATTCTACAATCACTTAAGTATCATTGTACCTCTATATACATAAAACAAAGGCGAGTTTGTTACAATACTTATAACTCGAGAACTGCTGAACCGATTTTCATGGTTTTTGATTTGTTGGATTTGTCTCCGCCCCGAATAGCAGAATAATTATTAAAACATTACAAAAAATCCCGAAAATAAAATATATGGCTCATGCTGGCTAATAACTATTTATATCTATATAACGTACCTAGAGACGAACACAAGCGAAGCGAGAGTAAGCCGCTAGTATAATATGTAAGTGTTGTTACTATTCGAAACGTTTATTCATAAACAAAGATAACTATTATAGCTTTAAATGGTGAAAATGAATATAAAAATGGTTTTTGAACCTATTCTGTAATAAAATGCAGAAAACTGTAGATAATTTGATATCAAATTACATTTAAAACTTTGATATATTTATACTTTTTTTTGTTATGATATACATACATATATACATATCGATACTTATCGGCGTAAAACAAATTAATGAAAGTTATTGTGTGTTGCTTTAAACTTTACATTTTATACGAATACCTAAATAGGTATATTTTTTATTCTTATTATAGAAAAATAAGAATTCTCAGGAAACGTGGTTTGTTTAGAATATTATTCCAGAATTAATATTGTAGCAAAAATAGCATAAACTTTTACATAACATTTTATTTAAGTATATTAGTAAAAGAAAGTATTGCGATCAAACGGTTGAATTAAAATATACTTCTTTGTTTTCAAATATTAAAAATGAAACTGGATTTTGGAGTTGATTGAATGCGTGTATGTCTGTACTGTTGTTACGAATATGCTAGTAAAAATCTATTATTTTGAAGGATTTTCTAAGTAATTACTTATTTATCATTTTAATTGTCATTTATGAATAAACTATCATTTAAAATAAAAACTATACTAATAAAACTGTTATAACTAAAGTAATTTAAAGTATACATTACCCAGACTACCAAAAGCAACCATAAACACACTGTCACATGTAATAAAAAACGCTAAAATCATCAATCAGAGATAGAAAATATATATAACATCGTTCATATAAAAAGCTCGATTATCGAATCGAACCCCGGACCGTGATGGGACGCCCGCGCGTTATAGCCGCTACTGATCAACTAAGTCTGAGATGGACCGAGTTTGTACTGAAAGGCGTGGGTTAGGCATACGTCTCCATTGTGCGCTGACGATTTTTATTTAGAGAAATTTTAACTTTGGTCTGATAGCAAAACGGCCTAAGTTTAAGATCGATATTATGAAAAATGTGTAGATACATATTCGCATGTTTTTGTAGAACAAGTTCTCAAATCTGAAATTTTGTATAAACAAGAATATAACATTTCAAATAGGTTTAGGTTTATATAACGTTACCTCGTTACTATTTGCACGTAGATATAGTTTGCTTATCTTCTTCATTTCATTTACTTTTTTAAATAAGAAATTTAAGGTTTTCTTTAATATTTAATTTTATAGTAGGATGAATGGAAAAAAGGAAAAATCAATGGAATCTCCATTGATTTTTTGTTAATTAGGGTTCCGAACCTACGATTTTTTTTGGGTCGAAAACCTTTGTGGTAGTTCCCGTTGACCTAGAATCACGAAATTTGGCGAAAAACAAGGTCTTACAGCACAAATAAAAAAGTTGAAAATTAAAGTTAAACAGATTTCCTTAAAATTTGTACGGAACCCTCGGTGGGCAACTCCGACCCGCACTTTTCCAGTTTTTTTTTTAATATAACGTGCGTGCTTTAAAAGTTGCAATTCTTGTATTATTTTGATTTCAACATAATTTAAAAATAAATTAACACTTTTTGTATTTTGTAAATCGAAAGACTTAATTCTATCATTAAAATTTTATCATTATAAATAAATAAATTAAGGAGTAAACAATAATCATTTTGCTTACTTAGATCTTTTAATATTTAACAATGCCAGTTACAAAGCCTTATTGCATATGCCATTTCGCACATATCTAAAAGTAAATTATTCTTACATCTATACATATAATAAAATTCTAACTAAACCGAATGTGTACATTAAATATTTTTTGGAGAATCTTATTAAAATAGACATTATTATCGATACAGCGAATCAAAATTTTTTTAGAATTTTTGTCTGTGACCGCATCACGGAAAAATCAGTGGAGGGATTTTGATGAAATTTGGTATGATGATAGCTGGTTATCCGGGTCAACATATAGGATATTTTTTACTGCGGGAAAATATCTCATTTCTGAGAAATCTATACTAAACGATAAAACGTAAGTAGGGACGAGCCCGAGCGAAGCGAGGGTGAGTCGCTAGTTTTAAATAAAACTTTATACTGTTACCCAGATTGTTATAAGAACTCAACACGTCGGAAACCAAAAATCAAAATAAATAGACAAAAAAATCCGAAAAGATTTTTATTTTCGCGTTAATCTAAGAAAGTCATGTACTTAAATGAAATGAAATATCATCCATACAAGTCTAAAATCCAACGACAGTAAAAACAAAAAGTGAAGTTCAACGTCAAGAAAATTAGATAATATACGATATTTATATACATTACAGAAATATCGTACAAGTACAATGCGAAAAAACTCTTACGTTAGCTCGCAAGGAGATTCAATCATCGTACTCACATTTTTAAGGTAATTCAAAATCAACTCTCTACATTTCATTTTAAGTGTCAATTTTTTGTGATATCGCCTCGCGTATACTCAAGCCTGATAAGTACATTTAATTATTTTTATAATATGTTTTATCTTCTTGTATTCACCGGCTTAATTTATAAGCCAACATCATTATCTGTGTAACCATGTCAAAGTTGCAGCTATATATAAAAAAAATATAGTTCTTCTGTGCGTCTGTTCACATGCAAGATAATATTTTCTTACTAAATGATAAAATTATATCTAAATTATTAGTTATAATATTAAATATTAGCGACAAAACCGTCGCTTCGTTCGGGTGCGGCCCTAGGTACTTTTTATATTTTTTGAACCGAACCAATAAAATAAAAGTAGCCTAAGTTACTCCTTATAACATCAGCTATCTGCCAGTGAAAATCCCGTGAAAATCAGCCTTTTCAGAGATCAGTCGGAACAAACTGACAGACAAACAAAAAAATTAAAAATTATGTTTTTCTTTGTGTACCATATATAATATAATATTATGCATTTAGTGAAAAGCTGTTATTTTGATATTACAAGTAGACACTTCAATTTTATTTATTTATATAGACGATTTTTTTATTTTATATAGAACTTGTAAAAATAATAAGATTGATAAATTACTGTTTTAGTATATACAATGTAGAGCGTAGATGAACACTGTTTCCTTGAAACTCTACATAGTAAAAGTGGAGTTTAAACATAAAACAAGAGAGCTGACGATCTATTTTTTTCCACTTACTTTATCGGTAAAACTCATCTTTAGACACAGTGACGCCACAACACACACTCAATCATGCTTATATATGTATATACGTAATTTGTTTTCACACACGTGCATTTTCTTTGTATATGCTAAGGTCATTCATACAGGAACCCTAACAGGACGAACGGCAATGACCTGTACCCGAGTATTTTTTTGATTCTCCCCCATTTAATGCCTGTTATTGTTATCTAAAGTCCTTATGATAATAGCCATAGAGACTATTTTGATACTTTAACGAAAGCGGAGATAGGTCTTAATTATGTCAGGTTACTAGCAATCTTAAAGGAGTATAGACTTAAATTAAAATAGAGCTAAAAAACTAATCACATTCTCTCTAACTAAAATTTAAATATACTCGTAAGTAGGTATTGGTATACTTTATGGAAATTAAACATATTTTTGATTTCACTATAAAAAACGAGCCCGACAAAAAAGATAAATTGTGGATATTCTAAATAGCTTTTTATATCTAGTCTTTTAAAGCTTTGTAAGTCTAAGTACACTGCCGAAAAAAAAACCTAAATAACTTGTTTTCAATCACTAAAATGATTGAAAACAAAGACAAAAAAAATGAAAGCGTCTGAGAAACAAACGTGAAAATCACAATGATAAATTCTTTGTGTTATATGAACTGAAACTAGCGACTCACCCTTGACGTGAATAAAAAAAAAATAACGATCAAAGTATAAAAGACGTATGTTTTTTACGCATGCAATATCTCATTAATGCGTAAGTTTGTTTGAGCTTATGTATTTGTTGCTTTTTTATGTTAGAACGCTTCAACAGATTTAAATATTATTAAAAAGAATAGAAATAATTATATCTTAAGCTATTTTTGATCGATATTTGGACAAAACTGCAAGCAAAAAATAGTTTGTAGAAAGCTTTATAATAAAGTTCCGTTCTATTGTGAAAAAAAGCAGACATTCTTTCTTTTTTATATGGATTAGTGGTAGAATAATAACAAGAGGTTATTACATGTATTATATTCATATATCAATCACGGCTTCGATTCTCGATAGAATCAAATATTTTACATATTAAAAGGGAATGAAATCATATTCATACAACAAGAGGTGGAATTTATTAGGTGTGTACAAGAAAATGCGTGTGTATAATAAATAACCGCTAAAACAATATGATTGTTAGTATTTTGATCATATTCATTATTTTACTTTGCTATTTACTATGACATTTGTTGAATATTAAATATTTGTTTTTACCTGCGGCTTCGCTCGCGTGGTAAGTAGGGCGGAGATGAAAGGCGGACTAAGTTTTTAAAATAGAGTTTTTACATACACATGTATATATATATATAGGCCTTTTCCTTAATGTAACTAGACTTAAGAAGAGAAAAAATAAATTATAAAATGTCTTTGCACAAACATTTTATCAGTCAAATTTAAGTAAACATTGCATAAACTGTTACGTATTTAATATGAGATTACAATTAATTACTCGTATATCTGAATTTTTATTTTTAGGCATTACATAAATATGTAAACTGCGTAAGTTCTAGACTTAAAACTAGATAGGAACTTAATATTTTGTTCTTTTTTGCTTAATACTAAACAGATAAATAAAATTAAAGTATCTGTTTGTAACATCAAAATAACAGCGTTTTACTGAATGCATATGAAATTATATACGGCACTTATAAGAAAAACATATTTTTAAAAAATTTGTCTGTTTGTCTGTTCCGGATAATCTCGGAAGCGGCTGGACTTATTTTGACGGGACTTTCACTGGAAGATAGCTGATCTTATAGAGAGTAGCATAGACTACTTTTATTTTAGAAAAAGAATTGGGGTTCCGCTCAAAAAAATGGACGAACCCGAGCGAAGCGAGAATGAGCCGCTAATTGGTATAATAATAATAAAGTCCTCCCGATTGATTTCGGCCAATCTCATTGAGACCATCTGCGTTTGTTGTGACTTAATTGTATATAATAATATAAAACTCACTCTGCATTTAGTCAAATAAATAGTGGCTAACCGTTATCTTACCAATAATCTAAATGTGAAAGTTTAGATGTTTGGATGTTTGTAACTCAATCACGCCAGAACGGCTGAACGGATCTGTATGAAATTTGACACAGAGATAAATTATAGTCTGAAATAGCTCGTAGGCTACGTTTTTATCCCGGATAATGTATAGTTCCCGTGGATAGATTTGTTTTTGTTTTTCTAGAGGCGAACCCGAACGAAGCGAGAGTGAGCCGCCAGTATATCATAAATATTTTATAAAATGTAAACAATGCCATCCATCTATTAATACGTAGTATATATACTTTATAGCTGTTGGCTGATTTTATAATCATCTATCATCACAGTCATAATCATTAATTTACGGAAATTTGAGTTGATAACACATTATTCAATTTTCCTTTTCCTTTCAGTCTTTTTTTTCTTTCTACATATATGTTATTTGTTGATATATATTATATTTAAATAATAATAGTTGAAAATATTATTATTTTTTAAGCAAACATTTATAAAAAACTATATGTAATACAAAATTTTTTTCTAAATTTCGTGATATTTTAGCAAT